ACTGGAAAAAGTTTTTCCCAGTAATGGAAAAAGGTTCAATCCCTTTGGAATATTTTCCTAATTGGGAATTTTTAATAATAATAAAATTTATTGCCTTACACAGAAAACATACGAAAAATAATTTGGATTCTTTTTTTTGTCAATACCGTGAGATAGCCATATTTTAGTTTCTGTTATAGATTAGCTTTTATTTGCATTTCAACCCCAGCTGTGTGGAATCCACATTTTTCATAAAATGCAACATTTTTAGGATCACAGTCTAAGATTATCTTGTAACAACCACTTTCAAGACCAACCTCAGTTAGTTTGTTAATCAATAATGCTCCAAGCTTCTTACCTTGAAATTCAGATCCTACTGCAATATCTTCGATATGTCCAACAAGTCCACATTCATGAATTAATTTTTGTTCAATAATAACATTCCCTGTAGCTGCAACTTTACCAGTAGAGTCTTCAACAATTACATAAGGATTGTATTTGTAAACATCTCCCTTTGGTAACTTTTGGGTATCCCAATATTCAACTATTGAACCAAATTGTTTTTCAGTTACTGCTCCAACTGTTGTTAATATGCTTAAGGTTTTAATTACACCTTCGTAGTCCTGTTTTTGGATTCTCCTAATGGAAAATCCATTTGGTACTCTTACTTCAACCATTTTAGTCATTTTAAGCCTTGTAGATGTCCTCTATCTAATATTCGTTTGATTCTAATCACCTTTTCAATTATTTTTAGCTCTCGATCTAGTTATTTAAGCCTTTCCTCATTTTGAATTTATCCTAAGATGCATTCGCGATATCCTCGATATACGATTAACAGTGGATAGTGAATAGTGAACAGTTAAATAAAGATATCCCATCATGACACTTATTTTTTACACTATTTAACCTATCACCTTTGATTTGTTATTAATTTTTATTCTATTTGTATATGTATTGATTAATTATGGTATATACAGATTTGTAAATTATATATACATGTTGGAATCCTTTCATATTTATTCAATTAAAATTATTGTTTCTTGCCCTTGATCTTTTTAAATGTTTCTGAAATAAAATTTTCAATCTTTTTTAGAGTGTTCACATCTGTGCTACTATCCTTAGAATTGGTCTTTGTAGTATCTTCAGGGTTCGATGATAAAATGCTGTTGCTCATGGTTCTCTTTGCAGTAGTATCCTTTGAGACGTCTGCGAGAGCTTCCCATAGACAGGTTTCGACTTCAGTAGATGGTTTCCTTATCACTACTTTGTATTGAATCTTCATATCACCACGTCCTAACCCATTTCTACGTGGGACACCCATATTTGGAATTGATGTTACTTGATCGTGTTGTGTTCCTGCCATTACCTTTAATCTAATTTGTTTATCATCAATGGTTTTAATTGTGATGGTACCACCTAGTGCTGCTGTGGTAATTGGAATCTCTTTGACAGACCAAATATCGTATTTATTCTTGATGGTGTAGTCTGGATCAGGTTTTACACGTATTCTTACTAATAAATCACCTCTGGATAATTTAACTCTATCTTTATCTTCTTCTGGGACCGCAATATTTGGGAATGAACCTTCACCTGGGATACGGATTACATCACCGTCAGATAAACTAGAAGGTAGGTTAACATTTATTTTCTTTTGCGCATCTAATTTAACACCGTCACCATGACATTTCGTACACATGTCTTCAAATGCAATAATAGTACCCTCACCATGACAGTGGTTACAAGTTGAAGCCATTTGGAAGCCCGAACGTACATGTATTTGAGTACCAGTACCATTACAATAGGAACAAGATCTTCTCTTGTGGTTCTCACCCTTTTTCAAACCTGAACCGTGACAAGTATCACAAGGATCCAAAGCGTTAAAAGTTAGAGAAACATTGTTAACACCAAATACGGCATCTTTGAAGCTTAAATTATGGATAATTTCGATGGTATCACCTTTATATTCTCTAACCATGTTAACTCTTGAACCGAATCCACCATTTGAACGTCCTGAAGCACCACCACCAAAGGCAGCGCCAAATAAATCTTCGAAATTCAACCCACCAAAATCACCAAACCCACCACCGTTACCATTAGCAAATGGATTGAACCCACCTGAACCACCACTTGGACCAGCATTCTGTGAGAAAGCCGATGCACCGAATTGGTCGAATTGAGCTCTTTTATCTTCATCAGAAAGTATTTCATAAGCATTTTGTAAATTATGGAAAGTTTTTTCAGCATCAGGTTCTTTATTAATATCGGGATGATATTTTTTTGCTAATTTATAGTAAGCTTTTTTAATTTCTGATTGACTAGCACTACGGGCAACACCTAAAGTCTTGTAAGGATCTTTAAAAGATGAATCCGAATTGCAAAGAACCCTTGTAGTATGAAACCCTGATTTCTGGAACTGATTCAATTTGAAAGTAAAACCATTTGAGTAACATCTACCAACACTAGTTTTCAATGGGACATTGTTGAAGACTAGTTTCTGTAAAACCTTACCAGACAACATTATTTTTAATTTGTTTTGGCCTAATTATTCAATTTTTCCTTCCTAACCTTTTAATGAAAGTAATAAAGAATACTACAAAAAAAAGAGACAAAGTACAGATAGGATAGCAAAATCCGAACAGTGAGTTAGTCTAAAAATTGCAATCTTAATTGCGGACAGATTATCCTATGATACAGTACAACAGAGAGAACTTCCTTTTGAAAACAAGGTTACTCATCTCATCCATCCCATCCCATTCATTAACCTTTTATAATTCGAAATCGAACTACATTTTTTGCTAGTTTCGAAATTTATATATAGTGAAGTATACAATACACACATTCCCGTTGACTATAGGTGAATTATGTCCTGTTAACTACGAACGGAAAAAGTCGAATTGATTGAATTTTTCGGAGCCGAACCGAACCGAAGTGGAAAGAAGAAGAAGAAGAAGAAGAAGCAAAAGAAAAAGAAAAAGAAGTGTCTGGTATTTCTAGAAGGTTTTAGTTGAATTGAGTTGATGTCATGTGACGAATTGTTGAGTGGAACGGTGTTTCGAAAGAGAGTCTGTGATATGTAGTGTGGTGTATGGAGTGGAGTATGTAGAAGTGTATATCAACTATCAAGAGCTATATTATATTATAGTATATATAGTTAGTATATAGGTACTGGATGATGGATATACTACAAGCAATAGTATTGGTTGGAATTGGATATCTTACTAACTCTGGATAACTTGTGGTTTGTGTTCAGGTTAAAATTTGTTTTCTTTCCAGTGATTAATCTACTTTTCATGTTTATTCTATTTTACGTTACATTAACCTTTATTTACTAATATACACTATTACGTCATCTTCGCATCGGGTTCGAAATGTTGGCTAATTTGACAAAATGTTAAATATAATAATAACAGCAATAGGAAACAACAATAATAAATAGTTGATCTACCTACAGGATGACACAAGTTTCGTGAAGGCTCTCTCTCAGTGGATAGATTCACCATTAGTTGCTAATTATCATGGATTTCACTTCAGAATCAGATTTAGGTTCAGATTTGGAGTCTGACAAGCAGGTAAACACCAGCAATAGTCAACTTATACAGGAAGAACAGGAACAAAAACAAGAACAAGAACAAGAACAAGAGAACGAAGATGACTTCTTAAGTAAAGAGGACACTCAGAGATTGCACTTGCAAGAGTTAAAAGAAGATCTATTATCAAAGAGAAACGAACTCATAAAGGAAATCGATACATATAAGAAGGAAATATCAACAAGACAAAAGAATTTATTAAATGAACAAAGTTTATTAGACCAGAATGCATCCAATCTTCTAAGGGACCTATTGATAGCATCTTCAACTTTAAATAGTAATAGTAACTTATCTAATGATGGACCTAATGATATTGATGATAATAGGAAAGCTAAAACTCAATTCATAGATGGTGCATCTCCTTTACAAATTGAATTATTATCGAAATATGATACCTTACCGTTGTTAAATATGGACCTAAGAATACGATATCTGGAAGAATATTTATATCCAAATGTAAATGTAGAGATAGTTTCAGAAGAATTGGAGAATATAGATGTAACTAATACCACAATAAAAGTTTATTGGAAATTTACAAAAATTGAATTGATTTTAAATTTATCTTATGATACTACCTTACAAATTTTATTGAAGTTCGATATCCTTTCTATATCTGAAAATTACAAATTGAAACTAATGCCTCTAATAGACTCTTGTAAAGATAATCCAACTTTACTATTGTTCTTCACCAATCAATATGATAAACTATTACAAAAAAGAAATTCGATATTCAAAGAACTACAAGATACTTTCCAAAGGCAATTGAAAAGTTGTAATATTGTCAATAATCAAGAATCATTAGTATTGACAAATATCATGAAAGGATCTGATGATCTACGAAAAACCATCAAATTACAAATCGATTTCAATATTCAATTTAGTATCGATTCAAAATTCACTTTGCCTACTTCTAAGATAAATTCAAAGCTATGGAGCGATCATAACCTCATATTGGTAAATGATAATACAATACTCTATGGATTAATAAAGGAGTATGGTGTTTTGCAAGGACTTAAAGAATACACAAAGACATGTCTATTTCCAAAATCATATTCGTAGTAAAGATTTGTAATTTTAAAATTTATAAAGATAATGTGTTGATTTAATCAAATACATAGTATTTAAACATCAATTATGAAATATAATCGTCCAAAACAAGAGAGACTCGATGAGTTCATGCAAGTACATGGGAATTTAGAATCCACCGTCGAACCCGTCATCGTACCCGCCATCAAATCCATTATCGTAGCCCTGGTCATAACCTTGATCGTAACCTTGATCATAGCCACCGCCTTGATCATAGCCACCACCATAATCATTATTATTTACAATAACTGTTTCATCTGGACGGGCTGCATCAGCTAATAGAGTACCACCAACTAAACCTAAACCTGCACCAGCTAAACCACCCATCAATGCTTGGTTACGACCACTGTGGTTCTTCTGTTGAGCCTGTTGTTGTATATATACCGGTTGTTGTTGATAATATGGCTGCTGAGGAGGATATTGCTGTTGAGGAGGATAAGGTTGTTGATAGTATGGTTGCTGAGGAGGATATGGCTGTTGGGGAGGATATGGTTGTTGATAAGCAGGTTGCTGAGGATAACCTTGAGGTTGTGGTTGATAGTAACGAGCCTGTTCTCTAGGTGGGGCCTGAACTTGTGGCTGTTGTTGTGGAGGAGGGGGAGGTTGTCTCCTATCCGAAAGATCACTGCTTGAATATGCAGGAGGAGCTTCTACCACCGGACTACCTTGTTTCCAAGTAGTTCCTCTAGGAGCTTCCCATTGTGAATTTTTATTAGAAAGATTAACGAAAAACCAAGTTGAGTATTGATCATCAAATTGTGCAGTCCAACCTTCAGGCACAAAAGGTGGGTTATCTCTACTCTGAGGCATTGAAATAGAAATATTTTCAAATTCAAATTCAAATTATGTTATCTGTAGAAATGAATCAACTGTAATTTCCTAAAAAAAGAAAAGAAATATTGCTATTAATTGCTTGTTGTATAGTCGTATTACTACGACTTGATATAAAATATTCTCAAACGTACTAGAGATTCAAAAATTTCAATAAATTAAGTAAAACTTTAAAAATAATCCAAACTTTTCATTATTCCTAAAAGAAGTTTTCAATTCGAAATTAATCTACACCTTAGTAATGAACGTAAAGGGTTCTCACCTGTAGTCACATGCTAGCTGCCGATAAACGAAATCTTAGCACAGGTATATCAACACAATATAATGTAATACGCTAAAAGTAATAGCAACGATAACGAAATTAACTGAACTTTAAGAACGACAACTGCTTCTAAAATGTTTAAATCTTTATCCCTTTCATATTCTTCCATTTTTACTGCCTGAATTTTAATTAGATCTAGTCAAGCCATTGCAACCCCTACTTGCCCAGACTTTCTCTGTAAAATCAAGGTCTACTTTTCCAACATAATAACAAAGACTAACCCAAAGATACACTTTGAATACCTAAATTTCGAGATCAAGCAATCTGCTTCACCATTCATTCTCCTTTAGAACTATCTCACCCTCCTTACAATACTTTCCTTATATCTCTATGATTGATTTTGTTTAGGTTTATTACTAATTTGTTGATATCGTTAAATATTGATGTAGTAAAATTAATAAAAGAAAAATCGACAAGAAAATGAAAAAAGTTCGAATTTAAGTAGAGTTATATAATAGACATAACTGATGATATTGGTATATTAGGAGGCTTTAGAAGTTTGATATATATTGGAAATTGGTAGCCGAAGAAGTATATAGCTGGTTTCCTAGTTTTTTAAGTTAAATTTTCTCAAATATAGGCCATACAGATAGTGATTTATTGATTTTTGTTTAGGTCAAATTTATCGTTAAGTGTTTTTTTGGGTAGAACAAAAAGTATAGTTACAAGTGGATAAATACTTACTAGAATTATATTTTTATGATGGAGACTAGTGTTCCTCCTGAGGAGTTCCCCTTGAAAGGTATTCCAATCCCGTTCAGGTATCAGGTTAGTTCTTCAAGTTGTAACGAATACCATCATAATAATCGAGATTCGAAAAAAAGGCATAGATGTGATAGTCATAATGGAATTATTGAAACTTCTAATGCCGAAGAAAGGTGTCAAAATAATGATGAGAGGGATCAGGTTGTTCATAAACGTTCAAAAATAGATACGACCAACGAAAAATCATTTCATCATCGCAATCACTTGTATAGAAATGTCATATTGGCATCAAATGCTTTAGCAACACCTAGTTCCACTGACTATATAGAGGCAAATTCTTCCACAGTGTTGCGTTGCTTAGATGACAATTCTACTATTGAGGATGAAAACGTTGATGATTTAATCAACACAAAGGATAGTAATAATAATAACACTACTAAGGATTTAGTCAATACTAATAATGTGACAAATGTCAACACAAGTCCGATTTCAGGCAACACTATAATTGCAGCTGCTACCGCATCTGAAATATTAACTGATGAAGCTTTGTTACCTTCTCCTGTTGCTTCTCCAAATGTCACAACACCAGTAGAAGAAACAGCTTCTTTACAAGGTCATATGTCTACGTTTAATCCAGACGATCAATATGCTATCCCTGATAACGTTTCATTGATCTCAAGGCTGTACACAGATGAATTATTCAGAGAAATGCAAAATAACTTATCTGGCCCTTGCTTTAAGAATGTATTATTCCAATTATTAGCCAAAATGAATAGAAGGGACTTGTCCGATTTGGGGACTTTGATTAAGGATAACTTGAAACGTGATTTCATTACTTCGTTACCAACAGAAGTTGCATTGAAGATTTTAGCAAATTTAAAATTCCCAGATTTGGTAACTTGTTCACAAGTATGCAAAGTTTGGAATAACCTAGCTAATAATACTCCAACGTTATGGAAACAACTACTAATAAGTGAAAATTTTGTTTCTCCAGAAAGTTTTAAAAAATATTCGTTAAAATTGCTGTTAAGATATCCAAAGATTAGGAATATTGAAGAAGGTTACAGGCTTGATTTTATTCAAAATTGCAAATATTTAAAAAACTGGTATAATCCTAATTTTGTTCCTAAAATTACAACACTGAGGGGCCATATAACAAGTGTAATAACATGTCTTCAATTTGAAGATGATTATGTAATTACAGGTGCTGATGATAAAATGATTAGAGTAATTGACGCCAAGAAGAAGAAATTCTTACTAGAATTAAGTGGCCATGACGGTGGTGTTTGGGCACTAAAATACGATGAAGACGGTATATTAGTCAGCGGATCTACTGATAGAACAGTACGTGTTTGGGATATTAAACGTGGATGTTGTACACATGTTTTCAAAGGCCATACATCCACAGTCAGATGCTTAGATATCGTAGAATATAAAAATGTCAAATATATTGTTACAGGATCAAGAGATAATACATTACATGTCTGGAAATTACCGAGAGAATCCAGCTCCACTGGGGAAGATCCCTCATATCCATTATATTTTAATTCCCCTGAAGAAAATCCATATTTTGTTGGTATCTTGAGAGGTCATATGGCTTCTGTCCGTACTGTCTCAGGACATGGTAATATTGTTATTAGTGGATCTTATGATAACAATTTAATGGTGTGGGATATAGCTCAAATGAAATGTCTGTACATATTAACTGGTCATACCGATCGTATATATTGTACGATTTATGATCATAAAAGACGTAGATGTATTTCAGCAAGTATGGATTCCTCAATCAGAATTTGGAATTTAGAAAATATCAGCAAAAATGGTACTTGTACAAAAGTTATCAATTCTATGACATCGTGCATAAACATCATAGGATCTATGTATACGTTACAAGGCCATACGGCATTGGTTGGGTTATTAAAATTGTCAAATAAATTCTTAGTAAGTGCAGCAGCAGATGGATCATTAAGAGGCTGGGACTCCAATGAATACACTAGGAAATTTGCATACCACCATGGCAATCTAAGCGCAATAACCACTTTTGACATGAACGATAACATTCTGGTTAGTGGATCCGAGGGTCAATTTAACATATATAATTTAAGAAGCGGTAAATTGATCCATTCTAATATTTTAAGGAATGCTGACCAAATATGGTCTGTTCACTTCAAGGAAAACATTCTAGTGGCTGCCATAGAAAAGGATGGTCAGAGTTTTGTCGAATTATTGGATTTCGATTCTACTAGTCATGCGATAACCAGAGATTCTATTCCAGTCGCTTAAAATGCAGAATATCGAACCCTCTAGGGATATCAACCGTAATAATATAATGAATTTACCATATATTTATAATTAAGATTCATTAAATAGACAAATACTAATATTTAACTAAAATAATAACTTATCTCAAAGCGTATAATAATATCAGGAACTATCTTGCTTATAGTTGGCGGTTAGTAATTTGAGATATCAATATCATTATATACGTTATATGACGCGTAAAGTGATCTTATCTATTATTTACAGGTGAAACGCGTAAATAAACAATTCGAGATGTGATATAAAGAACAATTTGATTAACTATTTATTGATTTAATGATAATACCATTCCAACGTAAGAAGAAGTAAGAAAGGTTCTGCAAATAAAGGTAACGAAATATTTGAAAATCTATTAATTGGCTAATAATACCAGTTTAATCTATTGAAAATGGGTCGTTTACTTGGACTAGAATTAAATAATTTCAAATCTTATAAAGGTGTTGTCAATGTTGGATTTGGAGAATCTAATTTTACCAGTATCATTGGCCCTAATGGTTCTGGTAAATCTAATATGATGGATGCTATTTCATTTGTATTAGGTGTTCAGAGTAGTCATTTAAGATCTAACGTTTTGAAGGATCTAATATACAGAGGATTTTTATCGGGTGATGATGAGGACAACAACAATGAAGATGTCAATCCTAATTCTGCCTATGTCAAGGCATTTTATCAGAAGGAGGATGTGACCCATGAACTGATGAGAAGTATTTCTAATTCCGGTGATTCTACTTATAAGATTAACAACAAAACTGTCAGTTATAAACAATATACATCATTTCTTGAAGATGAAAACATTTTAATAAAGGCCAAAAATTTCTTAGTGTTTCAAGGTGATGTAGAACAAATAGCATCACAATCTACAACCGATTTGACAAAATTGTTTGAAGAAGTTTCAGGTTCAATTCAATATAAGAAGGAATATGAGGAATTAAAAGAGAAAGTTGAAAAATTGAGCCAATCTACTGCTGAATCTATCAAGAATAGAAGAAGAATCAATAATGAAATCAAAGTCTATAAAGATGGTATCACTAAGGATGAGAAATATAAAGCTCAATTAGAGAAACGTAGGAATCTATTGGTCTATTCCTCACTATGGCAATTGTATCATTTAGATGAGAAAAAGTCTCAATCAAAAAATAAACTAAAGGAGGCAAAATCAAAAGTTTCAAAATTGAAAGAAAAACTGGCCAATGAAGAAAAAATATTACAAAAAGCTAAGAACTCTATCGTTAAAGATACTGCAGCCATAACGAAGTATAAAAACAAATTGGAATACAGATCTAAGGAAAAAGAAAAATTAGCTTCACAATTAATCCCAATTAAAGTTTCACAACGTAATACTACTAAAAAAATTTCAAATATTGAAAGGAGAATAGAAGGTATCGAAAGGGATATAGAAAGACAAAAAAGCTATGTCGAGAGATATGAGTCCCAATTGAAAGTTGTTACAAAATCGAAAGAATCATTTGAATTGGAAATTAAAGAATCAGCCAAGAATTTTGATAAATACCGCCTTAGTGATGAAGATTTAGTTACATATGATGCGTTAAGTGAAAAATATCTAAGTAGTGGAGGTTTCGATATCGATACAAAAATTTCCTTACTTAATAATGATAAACAAGAGACAAGTGATGAAGTTGCCATGTTTAAGAATAGAATCGAGCTTGCAAAATCCAAGATTGCCGATGACTTAGTTCTTCAGGGTGAAAGACTAGAATTAGAAATATCCGAATTGACATCTTCCTTAAATGAAAAGAATTCGTTACATTCACAAAAAGTTAGTGAATTAAAAACTTTACAGGGTGAAATTGAATCTACAAGTAATAAGGAATATGACTTAAACTACAAATTAAGAGAAACACTGGTAAAACTTGATGACTTAAGTGCAAGCCAAAGGGAATCTACCAATGAAAGAAAATTAAGGGAAAATGTTTCAATGTTAAGGAGACTGTTCCCTGGTGTCAGAGGTTTGGTTAGTGATCTTTGTCAACCAAAGAAAGAAAAATATGCCCTTGCAGTATCAACTATACTCGGTAAAAATTTTGATTCTATTATTACTGATAACATTTCAGTTGCACAAGAATGTATTGCGTATCTTAAGAAGCAACGTGCAGGTGTCGCCTCATTTATTCCTCTGGAATCTATCGAATCTGAAGTTCCTACATTACCATTCTCCGATGGCCAAGGCTGTATTTTAACAATAAATGCCATCGAATATGAACCCGAATATGAAAGAGCAATGCAGTATGTATGTTCAGATTCTATTATTTGTGATACCCTAACTATTGCTAAGGACCTAAAATGGAAGCATAATGTAAAATCGAAGCTGGTTACATTAGAAGGCGCATTAATACATAAAGCTGGTTTAATGACAGGTGGTATTTTAAGAGATGCTACAAATAGATGGGATAAAGAAGAATTTCAAAGTTTAACTGTTTTGAAAGATAAGTTGCTTTCACAAATAGAAGAACTATCAACTTCCAGCAAATCATTTGCAATTAAAGGAAGAGATTTAGAAAGTACAATTTCATTATTGAATACTGATATAACTAGTTTAAGATCAGAGTTTACTCAATTGAATAGAGCTCTCGAGGAGAACAAAGTTGAAATTCAATACCAAACAGATATGATCGATAAAGAGTTTGGGCCTAAACTAGACGCATTGAATGATAAAATTAAGGTTTATGATGAAGAAATTTCACAGTTTGAAAACAAGAAAGAGGACTTACAAGGGGAAATATTCAAAGAATTTACTAATCGACTAGGTTTTACTATCAAAGAATATGAAGAACATTCAGGTGAAATTAGAAGAAAGCAAGCAAAAGAACTTCAACAACTTCAAAGGCAAATATTAAATATTGAAAATAAGTTACAATTTGAACAAGAAAGGCTGGCTTCTACAGAAAAGAGATTTGAAAAAGGTCAAAGTGAGTTACAGAAAACTAAAATCAGTTTGGACTCATTAGAAACTGAAGAATCTGAACTTCAAACCCAAATCGAAGAAATAGATAATGAATTGGAAACCCAACGTACCGAGATCGATGAGATGCAAAAAGCTTTAGACTCAAAGCTGAAAGATATTAGTTTTATAGAAGATTCATTGAATGAAGTTTCAAATAGTTTAGAAATATCTAAGAGAGAGAAACTCGGGTTCAATGACGATATTGAAAAGGTTGACTTGGAGAAAATTGGTATCTACAAAAACTGTAAAATATCAGGTATAGAATTACCCATAACATCGGCAATTACATTGGAGAACTTGCCAAATGATAAGATCGATAACGACACTATCCTAATATCCAATGAGATTGAAGTAGACTATGACGAATTACCGGCTGAATACAAAGAGAGCGGTAATGAAGCTGTTGGTCAAAAAATCGAGAAAGAGATCAAAGATGCTGAAGAAAAATTAATGGAATTACAGCCAAATTCAAAAGCTGTTGAAAGGTACGACGAAGCTAAGGATAAATTTGATGAGATTGACAAAGAGACTGAAGGGTTAAAGAAGAAAGAAAGAAAGTTACTAACACAATTTGTAAATATCAAGAAAAAGAGAAAAGAATTATTTGAAAAGGCATTTGAATATGTTAACGAACACATAGATCCTATTTACAGGGAATTAACTAAAAATCCAAACTCATCGGTAGAGTTAGCCGGTGGTAACGCTTCGTTAACCTTAGAAGATGAAGATGAACCATATAATGGAGGTGTTAAATACCACGCCACACCACCATTGAAAAGATTTAAAGATATGGAATATTTATCAGGAGGTGAAAAAACGGTAGCTGCATTGGCGTTATTATTTGCAATCAATTCATATCAACCAAGTCCATTTTTTGTACTTGACGAAATTGATGCGGCATTAGATATTACAAATGTAGAAAGGATAGCAACTTATATTCAAAGACATGGTAACCCAGAATTACAATTCATTGTTATCTCTTTAAAGAATTCGATGTTTGAGAAATCCGAAGCCCTTGTAGGAATATACAGACATCAAAAGGAAAACTCTTCAAGAATCATAACACTAAATCTAACAAATTACGTCAACTGAAGAAAAAAAATAGAAAAATACAATATAACCAAAATAGAATTAAGATAAAATTCCAAGCATTAATCAATTATTCAACCCATCAGAGATACCAGATCCCAGATCCCATTTCTCTCTTTCCATCTTTCTCATATGAGAAAGGGTAATGAAAAAAGTAGTTGTAGTATAGCTATATAATTATAATTAGTCAAAAAAAATAATAGAAATCAATTACTCTTGATCCATCAATACCTGACCAATGTTTCCTCTAGCAGACGGTCATGTTGGTTGGTCTCTAAGACATCAACCTTCTTGCATTTGCATATTGAGGAGATAGAGAAGAAAAAAAATCGATGAGATGAGCTGAAGGAAATATGTTTTTTCTACAGGCCTTTATCTGCGATCTATTTCCAAATTTACACTTTTGGATATAATGACGAAATTTTAATATTGAAAATTTATATAGAAGATTAAGATATTTAAAGAAAGATCTTATTTCTATTGAGCTTTATTGTTAGGTTGATAATAGACCGAGGCTACATAAGGTGATTAATTCTCGTAATTTATAGTTATGAGTTTTAGCGTTGATGTTTCTGAAGGTCTTATTTCGAATAAAGATGAAGAAATGAAGTTTCAAGATCCAGTTGATCGAGCACAAAAGACTCCATCACCTGTTAGAGCTGGTTTTCTAAGTGATATGAACTCAGAGAATATTATTGATGAGATGGCCAAGTTTTATGGGTTGGATTATAATCCTGATGCTGAGGTTCATATGAAAGAGATATACGATCCGAATTCAAAATGGTTCTGTAGACCTAATAAACCATTATTCCCAATTGAAGAATGTCTGCCGTATAAGACTGAGACACATTTAGAGCAGGCAAAATATTTATGCCATGTCTTGACTAATCTTTATGTTGCTATTGGGTCAAGAGATATCCAAGGTTTGATTCCAATATCTGAGAAGGATCTGATGGATTTTAAAAAGGAAGTCGTTGATTTTTCACAAGATTTAGACTTGACTAAAATTACTAGTGAAATAAATGAAGCAGAAGTTTTAAATAGTGATATTGCTAATTTTGATGAAGGTGAAGGTGAAGATGAAGAATTATTTGAAGAAAATGAATATGTAGACTTTTCTGGTCCTGATTTTAATGCAACTGGTAAAATTACATCAAAATCTGCTGCAACGGTTAACGTTAATTATTGGACCAATGAATTAAAAAATTTTATGCATTTAGAGTTACCTCTATCATTAAGAAAATCACTAGCATCTGTTTATTATTATCTTTCTTTAGTTCAAGGACAAAAAATTTATAGACAAATGCATGTAGAGATGTTCGAATTGTTAGTAACTAAAGATGATGATGATACAAATTTTACCAATTTATTATTATCCATAGGATTGGAGCTTGATCATAAAATATTATTGGACTTTTTATTCGAGTTTCTGCCTTATCCTGATTCAGATTTTGTTCGTCATGATATCCTTGCAAAGGAAGATCTTCAATTGTTCCGTTTATTATTAAAATTAGCACATCAAGCAAAGCCATTTTTTGCCGAGCATGATGAAGAATTATTAAAAAATTTAATGGATAGATTCTTATCTTATATCGCTCCTTCAACAATGGTTACAATCATGCCAATGATTACATCTTTTGTTCCTTATCATTATCATGATAATTCAAAAATTACAGACTATTTTCCGTTTTTTTATAGTTTGTGGAGTTCAGTAAGTGCAAATGTTGCCATTGACACTCATATGTACGATTTTGTCGGTAACGTTTCAGAAGATGCCCATTCAAAAATTTTATCAAAAAATTACCCATTCATAAAGCTTATAAATTTCGGAGATTATGGTCTATTTACAGATGATCAATTAACATTTATGTTTAACAGACTTCAAGGGCATTTAAGATCAGATGGCCAAATCCATTCATACTCCAGAACTGTAAGACCATTTGTCTTTGCCATAAATGGCTCGACACATGAGATGTTTTTCAAGAAGTTAGTATCCTTGATAAAATCCATTGAAACATTTGTTCATCCATCAAATAGTGGTTTTTGGACTAAACCTATTTCAAAATTTATCCACGGATTTATTAAAATGTATCATGGAAGAGCAAAAGATGAACAGGCAGCAACAAGGGAAGGGAAATCTGATCCTATGTTTTTAAATGAAAAGTGTCATTCCAGAATGGTAGAAATATTTTTAGATCTATTAATTACTGGTTCTCAGAATAAAAGCAGTGATGTAGCAAATTACTATATTTCATCTTTTGCTTATTTACTAGAATTAAGTCCATTAAATTCTAATCTTGTATTCGACAAAATTCTGGGTGATCTGTATGAAGCTCTATCAGGAGAATACATAAATTCAAGACATAGAATTATTTCATCCCTTAAACAGTTTACGAGAGTTGTAAGGTTTATTGTCATGGATAAGCTTTACAGAGTTCACGTGACAAATATTCTCTCAATTTTAGTATCAAAAATTGACATGAACGACATAAATTTATCAAGTAATATCATAAATGGTATTGTTTCTGTTGCAACATTTGTACCATTTACAAAACTTGTATCAGATGATGAATATTTAACTTTTGAATCGTACACCTTACCTTTTATTGAACAACATTACTACCACATGAAATCCAATGTTCCAAATACTACATTTGAATATGATGAACAAACTTTGGATAATGCATTTAGGGCATCGACTACCATTTTCAAAAATATTTTAAGAGAATATATTGATAAGATCTTTCAATTGATTAGTGTAGATCTGGAGGAAGGTTTTGTTTCAAAATTAAACAACACTTCGATGATAATGCAAGAGTCAATGGACAATGAAATTTTTACATTTTATGCAAAAAGATTACAAGAATGTTTTTGGAATAATGATTCTTTTGGGGATAGTAATCCAAATTTTGAACTAGTGACAATTCCTCTTGCTGCAACTGTCAGAAGAAATTCATCTTGCAGCAAAAAATTATTTTCAGAATTAAAATATAACATTAATATTCAAATTGAAAGAGGTGCTGGTTCAATAAGAAGTACATCTGAGATTCATCCTAGAGATTTCAAATTGGTTTTTTATTTGACTGCTTTAAATGATATGTTGAGACAATCACATTCTGCTATATTAGAATATAAGGACGATTTATTAGAATTTATGAAGTTCATATATGAGAATATCACTAACCCACCATTAGATGTTATTACTTCAATAATATGTCACAGTGCAATTGCAAGTTTAACAAATACAGAAATTATTAATTGCAGCATGTATTCCGATTCTTGTCCATTGGATCCAAAAGATCGTTGGGGTGGTTTACAGTTCGACAATAATAAGTTCAAAAAGGAAAATTTAGATTTTAAGTGGTATGAACCAACTAATGCAGAGGTTACCACGGCTATCTATTTTCTTGAGGATATTTCAAAACATTGTCAAAAAAGAATTAACGAATTAGTTGATTCTAACAATACTGGGAATCATTTTGTTGATAAAATTCAGAAGTATGTTCTTATTATGACTCACGCATTGTCAGGAACAAGTTTATTATTTGATCCAGATTTTCATAGAAATGAAAGCTTTTCTCCTAATGAACTAACAGAGAAAGAGATGTCACTTTTAATGAAAAACTCGAATTTTGACGAGATAGATCCAAATAAACTGACTTTAGGAAATGGTCTATTGGTTGATGAGGTCCTTGATGTAAATTGTAAGGGAAATCAACCATCCAATGGCAAGATTAAAGGAAGAAAAAGGAAGAACAGCCTACATGATGAGATGTTAATAGATAATATTAAATCATTTAAGAAACAGATTATAACAAATGGAAAACCAGAGATAACTTCTAATACCAATAACGGTCATTTTTGGGAGCTAGATATTTATTGTTCTAATTACTTCTTCGGTAATACTTTAGAAGAGAAATTTAGCAGTCCAAATTATTTCAAAGTTCATAAGATTAGAAATGATATTGGTCTATATTTTCATAAGTTATTTTCAATTTTGTCATCTAATTTTGAAAATTACACAATGGTTTTCCAAATTCTTTTGCATGGTTTAAAGGTCTGGTTCTCCGATATTGGGAAAGAAATCATATTTGGTGATGATCCAACAGCAAAACTTGACTTAGAATTCTTAGAAAATATACAGAGTTTATCGAATTTAAGTGAACCATATACAAGAACTTGTCTAGCAATGAAAGCTGATAGTTTCCACCAGGGTAGGGTTCTTCTTCATTCAGTGAATAGGAAACCATCAAAGTTAGAAATTTCATTATTAAAGGATATCATTTTATTAGCTACTTCCGTTTATCCTGACATCCATAAACCAGCTCAAGGTACATTAGTTCATTGTATGAAATCAATTGTCGGGTCTTATTCGATTATAATAAATGAAGTGATCGAATTACTGACTGAAGCGTTAAAGGCTCATGATCATATGAGGCTGGAGGCAATTTTAAAGGTGACAATGATTAAAAAGGTCCACCGTAGAATAATGACAGATTATAGAAACTTGGAAAGACTAACCATGTTATTGATTGAGTGTTGTAGAATAAATGAGTTAGATATTGCTATTTATGGTGATAGAATTTTAGGTGATATTGCCGATAGCCTAAAAATCCCTTCGAACATCTGTTTAATGGAAGATAAAATTATTTCAACATTAGCTCCTGTAGATGCAGAAATCAACAAACAGGTATCTATTGTGAAACAAACGAAGAACAAGAAACGTGAATTGTTTATTTCATTACTGTATCAATTAAGTAATAACTTGATATCAATGCTGGAAAATGAAAAGCAAGTCAATTGGAAGATATCAATTTTTATGATAAGATTTATAACTAGAATTCAATCTAATTTTGAAACTTCTTCGAACAAAGAATCAGTGAAAGCTATTTTTGAACAAACAAAGTCTAAGCATCCTCAAATTATTCAATTAAGTGTTAAATCACTATTAGGCATTTTTAACAAATTATTCTCTTTGTCTGATTATGGGTACAATCTTGAGAAGGCATATGAAAGAAATTTTGATCCAGTTTATATTGAAAATCTAGAAACTTCTGACGACAATTACAAGAGCCAATTTGTTAAAGAAATGAATAATTTTACCTCTCCATCGTATTTCATTGATTCAAGAGTATTTATAGGTTGGTTATGTTGGGGAACTAAAATGAAAGTTGTAAAACCAGTACCAATCGAAATTAATTTGGAGAAGAACGAGTTAGAAATCCTTGCATGTTTTGGCCAACTTGTGAAAAAAGAATGGTTAAAAGAACTTACTTCAAACTTTATCCAGGATAATGAAACCAGGAGTGTTTTTAGTAGTAGCAACGTTTCGTTTGTTATTCTATTAGTTTACTTGTGTTCGAAGCAACTAAGCGATTTTAAATTAGAAGATATATTCGAACTTTGTGAAAAGACGTACGACAGATACGACAAGGCGTCTATGATCTTGTCCATGGAAATATTCTCTGCCTTGATATGTTCAAGTAAATATATGTCCAAAGAGATGTTAGATAAACGCAATGCATTTGTCAAAAGATTTATGTATGATTGTTTGAATAACGAACTAAATCATGATGCGATAGAGATATGGGTGACAATTTGTTGGTGGTTGCCTACAGTTGTTGATTTAAGAAGATGCCCTGAATTTTTTGAAGTCTTTTACAATATCGAAAATATATTGAATACCAATACAGATTCAATCTCTAACAAAGTTTCAAAACTTTCTATGTTAAGGAATGTTTTAGTTGGTATGGAATTTAAATCTCCAGATTTCATTAAGAATTTGGACTCCTTTATTTTTGATCACCCATCTGAACAGATACGTGAAATTATTGCTAAAGTATTTACCACTGTCATTCAAAACTGTAGTTATCCATCGTTGCCTAATTCGAAGACAGTAATGGATATACAACAGAAGAACCCAGACGGCATGGGTGTTCCGATCAAAATAATGCCAAAGGAAATTGAATCTTATTTGAAGGAACAGTTTTCAAGGGTCACTGAAGAGGCTAAAAACATAATAGATTTGTCAGCACAGGAAATATTGAAGTCCAAATATTACTACATATCCTCAACCATGTATTGTTGGGTTAGAGAGATGTTAAAGGGACCTAATAAAATGCTTTTAATACCATTTTTGGCCAGATATGTTGTACCATTTTTAGTTGGCTTGATTAAACAGAAAGATGTCTGTAAAATTAGTGGATTAATGCCATCTAAATTGTATGTTGAATTGGCATATCTTCCAATTCCTAAGAAATACATACAGGAGGTTGTAGATATGATCTGTGATGAGACTATGATGACCTCGTCTAATCAAATCCAATTGCAATTGAGTTTATTGCAACATTTCCTATCTAGTCAATTACTCCAATTGACAGAATCACAAAAGGATAAAATATTACAATTTGTTGTAAATAATTTGTATCATACACAGTTTATTGAAGTTAGGGTACGTTCTTCGGAGGTATTATCTGATATAGTGCACAACTTAGGAACCACAGGGAAGATGATAGAATTAATAGAAAAATTTGATGACAATTTAGGTAAATTTAGTTGGGAAGAAAGAAAAGCGTTATCTAAGATAGATACAAAAGTTCATGGTAGTGTTGTTGGTCTAGGTGCAATCATATCTGCGTTCCCATATGTTTTCCCATTGCCTTCATGGATACCAAAACAATTATGCCATTTAGCGTCATGGGCTAGAACTGGTGGTATGGCGGGAACAGCAGCTAAGAACACTATCAGCGAATTCAAAAAAGTAAGAACAGATACTTGGCAATTTGATAGACAATCGTTTACATCGGAAGAATTAGAAGATTTGGAAGGTGTCCTATGGAGAAGTTATTACGTTTGAGATCCAAGAAATCTTAAAACTTCCCAATTTTGTTTCACCCTCGTTCTCTTCAATTCTTTTCTTTTAAAGAACTACATATATTTATATATATATATTACAATGCTAATATAACAATGTAACAATAGACAATTTAGTAGTAGTAGTATTAATAAGAATAATAGTAATATTGAAACTATTATTTGACGGTATTAAATTAAATTAAATTAAATTAAATCATTCCCATATTGGTAGGAAAATGAATACTGTCATGCTCTTATTCAAAAGTGGACTAATCTTGTACTGTGACGTTTGTTGTTAACAGTGGTGTGCTATCAACTATCTCCAGAACAATCCCTAAAAAACCCAAATGGATCACATGATCATAACACCGGGTAATTAACAACACGTGACTATGGTATGTGCTTTTTCAAAACTAGGAGACAAAAAATTAAAAAAAAAAAAATAAAAATTTGAAATAAAACTTAAGTTATAAAGTTTAATAATGCAAATTGCCCAGAGGATAATAGAACTAAATTGGTTTAAATAAGCTGAAATCTATTTGATATACTGGATCAGGTATTACTTTAAGGGTTGCTGAGGGCTGCTGTTAGGGAATACCAAAACTTGAATTGAAACTTTTCATTTACTATTGCAGTTTTTTTTTAATTACTATATTCTATTACATTAGATTATATTTTATTTTGTTTTATTTTATTTTCTTTCTTTTTTAAAAAAAATAATAATAATTCTAATACTATAATAATCACATTTTAGGTATAATATAAAAATTATTGGCACTATACATTTATCTCTATACTGCTGTTCATTTGTTTCTATAAGGTTATAAAATATAGGATCATTCATTATAGGACGTGTTTTCATTATTTTGAAAAATAATCCTAAAAAGATAATATAACAACGACATAAGTTTGGTATTTTAATTTATTCTCCGTGGGGTAAATAGATATTGACTGGACTAAATTCACATTGGACTAATATTAATTACATTTTTTTAAGTAGACAAAGGTCAGTTTTCTTAAATTAAAATATAAATATATTATAAACGAAATCAAAAAAATAAAAGATCAATAAATATGTCAGGATTAAGATCGACTTCAGGCTCAACTAATGGTAAGAACTATGATTCTATCATGAAGATTTTATTAATTGGTGATTCAGGTGTTGGTAAATCTTGTCTTCTAGTTCGTTTTGTTGATGATAAATTTAACCCTTCTTTTATCACTACTATTGGTATTGACTTTAAAATCAAGACTGTTGAAATTAATGGTAAAAAAATCAAATTACAACTTTGGGACACTGCTGGTCAAGAAAGATTCCGTACTATTACAACAGCTTACTATCGTGGTGCTATGGGTATTATCCTGGTATATGATGTTACCGATGAAAAAACTTTTGCTAATATTAGGCAATGGTTCAAAACTGTTACTGAACATGCAAATGACGAAGCTCAGTTATTACTAGTCGGAAACAAGAGTGATATGGACACAAGAGCGGTGACGTACGAACAAGGTGAAGAATTATCTAAGGAACTGGGGATCCCATTTATCGAATCTAGTGCTAAAAATGATGAAAATGTCAATGAAATTTTTTCTACTTTAGCGAAATTGATTCAAGAAAAAATTGACAGTAATAGACTTGCTGCTAATGGTACAGGAAAAGATTCAAACTTAAATATCAACTCAGGTAGTGGTAGCAGTTCTAAAGCTAACTGTTGTTGAGATATACAGACACGAATACGATAACATACACTAGCAAATTAAAATAAACAAAAAAAAATACAATCAACTAACAAACAAAAATGCAATGTAATAATTTAAAATCAAATTTTCCATCCCCCCCCCCCCCCCCCCACACACACACACACCATCACCACCATCGTTTTAGAATCTACATATTAAGAGTAATGACAATGTTTGAATGAACGTAGAAACGAATTAGGAATGAGAAAAGTAGTCTCTTCCAATGGAACCAAGAATAATATTAATGATAATTTTAAAACGGTTACGAAACAAAACAAGATGTCTATATTTCAACAACGTTTAAAAAAAGTTGTCTTGTATACAGACACACAAACCTACCCAGTAACATTATGATTTTTCGTTACATCTTCAAATTCAAATTTTGTCCTTAAATTTTAGTATGTATCCTACCTATACTCACACAATCAAGTATAATATATTATTTTTTATCTATATTTTATCTTATATATAGTAAAGTATATATGCAAATGTATACAATTCCTAAATTATAACTTTAAATTAATGTCATCATTATTATCGTCACTTTATTCAACTTCAGTTTTAGCTTTTTAATGATTTTGTCCATACTAACTAAATAAAGACCTTGATATCAAAATATTGAAAAAAAATACACACATATCGAAGAGTATAAACAAGAGACAAACTAAGTTGATAGAGGCAAATATATAAGAATATAGACCGGTAGGAGGTAGATATATGGTTCATTGGAATAGTTTTAGTGGGTATTTATGATGGAGTCTGCTTCATTCTTCAATCATAGTGAAAAATCTGATATTTTTGAGAAAAGTCAAAATAATACAATGAATGGGAATCTTACGAGGAAAAGTTTTGACTATGATATTAGAGGTTTAACTAATAGAAGGCATATTAGTGATGCTACTAATTCTTTAGGTTTCATGACTAATGTTAGTGGTGAAGAAACTATTTCCCAACTTATGAATGCTTGTAAAGGTCCTTTAAAGAAATTAGCAAGACATTGTTTTAAGAAGCTGCGATCTACTATTAGGCAAACTCAAGATGATAGAATCAATAAAAAAAGGGAGCCTGATGTAATGGATGAGTTTGTTGAGGTAGGAAATGGGAAGAGAAAAAGAAGAGTTGTTTCTGAGTCCTATTTGGTCCCTAGTAAACTTAGAAAATTCGATTTGAATGGATTTAAACGGGCAACTAATGAAGGTACTAATATTAAAGATACGAATCTTGAAAATTATTCCACAAGGAGTGGTTCTGTTTCAGCACAAAATTCTGTGAGGAGAGATCCCTTTAACTGGGAAGCACCTGCACATTTGCAAAGCAATGAACATCATATCAAATATATTCCAAATGCCAGTAGTGATAACAAGAACATAAATTATGGTACATCATTTGTAAAAAGAGATAGAACAAAAAGTAGGGGGATAGGGAAGTCAAGTACTACTTCGATGGATCAAATAGAGTATCTAAGAAGCATATTTAGGGGAGAATATGAAATTCCCCAGATATTGAAAGATGAAAGACAACATCAATTAGAACTATTAGATGAGGATAAGGAACAATATATTGGGCTTAAAAAAAATGTTGTAAATTTAACAGAAAAGATTAAAAGGGTCCTCTCAGACTATAAAGAAAATGAATTCAAAGATGACTTGATAATAGTTAAAGAGCAAACAGTTGATCCCTTGGAGAAGAAACGTCGTGACATTTATAAGGAATACTTCTCAGTGAAGGAATCATTTTTAGAATTCATTAATAAATTTGAAACGTATAAAGAACTTCTTGACAAACGTGAAAAGATCAAACAAGAGATCAAGGATAGAAGAGCCAAAGAACAGCAAAAAGATTTGATTCCTAAATTATCAAAGGAGGAAATTGATAGAATTAACAAGATTTTGAATAAAAATGGCAATGATATTTTGGCTAAATATAAAACTTTAGAAATAACATTACGTGATTATAAGACATTAGGCCCTAAAAGATGGCTAAATGATACAATCATAGAATTTTTTATGCAAAAAATCGAAGAAATAAGTCCCAAAACAGTAGCGTTTAATTCATTTTTCTACACTAGCTTGTCTGAACGTGGTTATCAAGGTGTGAGAAGATGGATGAAAAGAAAAAAGGTACAGATTACAGATCTTAATAAGATATTTGTTCCAATTAACTTAAATCAATCTCATTGGGCATTGGGAATGATTGATATCCCACGTAAGAGAATAATATATGCAGACTCATTATCCCATGGCCCTAACGCTATGAGTTTTGCGATTTTAAGTGACTTGAAAAACTATGTTGTCGAAGAAAGTAAAAATGCGATCGGTGAAGATTTCGATTTATCTCATATCGACTGTCCTCAACAACCTAATGGTTTTGATTGTGGTATTTTTGTATGTATGAATACATTATACTTGAGCCAAGATTCTGCATTGACATTCAAAAGTGATGATGCTCCTAGGATGAGATCATACATTTCGCATTTAATAATATCAACTCCTAATAAAACTTAATGTATTATATATTAATAACTATATAGACTATATAATTGCTAAATTGGCATTATATTAATTCCCGTTCTTTTATAAATAAAACCCCAGTAGCCATTATTACACAATAATTAATTAAATAATTAAATATATATACCCATTTGTTCATTCCGTTTTTTTATCGTTAACGTCATTATCATCTTTATTTTCTTTTCTAGCCTTATCTAAAGTGATCAGATTTTTCTTCTCACTTTCATTGTTTGAAGATTTTAATTCCAATTTCTCCAATTCCTTAACCAACTCTGGAATTTGTTCATTCTCAGCCTTGATTAATAATTCTAACTCTTCCAGCCATCCTAATTCAGTTGCTAGTTTATGTGCAATTTCGTCTAGAAGGCCCTCGATGAATATATCATCATCTCTAGGGTTATCTTCAAAATCGCCTACAAGACCTAGGTTAAACAAGCCTCTTCTTGACGTATCAGGAACTTCAGAGGGCAACGATGCAAAAGGATGAACAGTTAGTGAAGTACCTGCTACAATTATTAAATCTTCTGTTGCATTATGTCTTTTTGAAAGCCATTCTACATCATCATCCCAAGTATTAAAAAAGGCTTCAGGCAAATTTTCACCAAAAAATACAATTTTAGGTTTTATTAGACCTTTACATTCACTACACTTTGCATATGAAAACTCTCCTTTGGCATTAGCAGAATCAAGTTTATCTTTGAAGACACTAAGCGGGAATTCCTTTGCACACTCTATACAATGGTTAGAGGCAAAACTTCCATGTGCCTCGATGACTAACTCTGAAGAAATACCAGCTTCTCTTTCTAGAGTATCGATATTCTGGGTATAAATTCTTTTTAATCTACCTTTATCTTCAAATAATTTCATTAAGTAATGAAATTCTGAAGGTTTAAAATTCCCAGGGTATAATTCCTTAGCCAATGTGTAAAAAGGTTTGGGATTTTCTTTGAAATAATCTACATCAAAAACAGCTTCTGCATAAGGTAAATTAAGCTTTGATAGATTGTGATAAAGACCAGTCTTAGGAGATCTAAAATCAGGAATACCACAAGAAGTAGATGCACCTGCCCCAACTAAAAAAATGACTTTTGAATCAGGGTTTTTTTTAAGATGATTGGCCAAAACTGTCACAGAATTTTTGCTTATCGTCATCTTGTTTTATTGTATCCTCAAACTAACTCTTAACTAGTATAACAGATCAAAGATATCAGTCTCTAGAAAATAGCAATGTATTTAGGGTATTTGTATTGAAAAATTTAATATTATAAAAATGGATGACAGGCCTGAAGTACAAATACAATAGTAGATTAATCTAAGTGATGTTTGGTATTCTTATAGGTATGGATATGTATTAAATTAGATATATTTGTATTTAATTTGAACATATCTTTTTTTTATATCAAGTAAAGTGAATATAAAATAGTAATCTATCTTGATCTAAAAAGAAAAAAAATAATTTGATGGCTTAGTAATGTTCAAAAAATAAACGACCCCGGAGAGGATTGAACTCTCGATCTTGCGATTAACAGTCGCACGCCTTAACCAGCTTGGCCACGGAGTCTTTGTTATTGAAACTTCAGAATAATTTTGTCAGTCTACCTCGTATCTGGGAGAAATTTATTATAATTTAGGACGAACCAATAGTTTCAATACCTAATGAGTATTGTTGTGACTTTAACCTGGATACTCGAGGATAAAGTGTTGTAACCTAAAATGTATGGTTTACACTAATGGGTTTCACGGTTATGGCATTAAAGGTTATGGCATTAAAGGTTATGGGGCAGTAACGGTTATGGCATTAAAGGTTATGGCATTAAAGGTTATGGGGCAGTAACGGTTATGGCATTAAAGGTTATGGCAGTAAAGGTTATGGGGCAGTAACGGTTATGGCATTAAAGGTTATGGCAGTAAAGGTTATGGCAGTAAAGGTTATGACAGTAAAGGTTATGACAAATTGCAATTGATCGATCGCAAATGGCATACTCGACCTTCTAAGTAATTGCCAAATCATATCATAAGAAGTGAAGTGCAAAGGCATCATGATTTATTATCATAAATTCATAATATTAAGATTATGAGATTGGATCTAAACATATAAAAAGGCATAACATTTTGGCACATCTAAAATATTGTTTATTCCAAATATTAATATATATTTATTTAGTTACATTTATAAGACACTACGGAGAAATAAATATAAATATTATATTAAAAACATCTTGTATCAATCACCAAAATGAATCAATCAGATATTACTTTTACATCTGAACAATAGTTTTATATATTGGAACTGAAA